ATCATGTACAGCCTGCTTCGCGTAACCCAGCAAATTGAAGTGTCCTGTCCAGGGTCGACCACAAATTGTGCCGACCAACAAAAACATAATAACAATTTAAGTCGTTCAATTGAAAGTATATTCATATACCGGAACCACAAATTTATTATTGAGCGCGCGTGAGAAAGTCCGCGGCCCCACTACTTTGATATTGCGAGCGCATGCTAATTGTTTTCACTCGCTACTACTGCGGGACTACCGTGTCGCTTTTGGACTGAGCGCGCGTAGAGAGCTTAAACGCCGTTTCGAGTATTTAGGCCCTCGTTCAAGTGGAGAACGCGTTCTGAACAGAAAATTGCCTAGGATTTTATTGGCTGAAAATTAGTCGGAACAGTGTACCACTTAGAAAATTGACGTTCTGAACCACTTGTTCTGGGAACTTCTCGAGCAGGTGTTCTGGCCTCAGCACATTTGTGCCATGGACGACGTCACAGCTGCCATTTTAGCATTAGTAGTAGCTGTTGCAAGCGTGAGCGCTGTCATCGCCACAGTAGATAGGCGCGGTTTACGACGGCCACCCAAAGCCCCCAAGACGTTTAACACTCGAGCATTCGAGACAGCTCTCTACACCCCGGGAACAGGTTGGTTCCACGACAAACTGACGACAAACTGCACGCTGCGTGGGGCCGTGAGCCCGGTCCCAACACCAAGAACCCCGTCATTAAGCGCGTGGCGCTCACAATGCTCTACCTGGCCAAGGGTGGCACCATGGAGAAGGCTGCAACGGCGTTGGGCATCTCCAGGCCTCGTAGTGTAGTCTACATTAACGAGACCCTGGACGTGCTCAGCGCCATGGCTAAATCTATGATCTCCATGCCGCCAGCAGAGGATCTGGCAGCTGTTGAAGACGGCTTCTACGCTACGGCCGGGTTTCCCGACACCATTGGTGCCGTCGACGGTACTCTCGTCCGTATTGCGCGGCCACACGACTTTGAGGGCTCGTACTGTCGCAAGAACATCCCTGCGGTAAATGTCCAAGCTATCGTAGACCACCGTGGTCTCTTCCGGTCCATTTCCATTCAATCGGGGTCAAACAACGACCAATCGCTCTGGAATGGATCGGGAGTGAAGAAAAGGTAAAGTTCAGGCATTTTATTGTCAACACTAAGATCTAATTTTGTTTGTTGCACTCGTAGGATCTCTAGTTACGTGCCTCCTGGAAAGCATTTGCTGGTGGATGCCGGCTACAAAATCTGGGGTCACATGTTGACCCCGTTTCCAGAGGCAGACGCTATGCAAGGTCCTCGGAAGAGGCGATACAACAAGGCCCATTCCAGGACTCGAATCGTCGTAGAATGCGCCTTTGGGCGTTTAAAAAACCGTTTCCGCGTATTTCTAGGCAAACTGGAGCAG